GTTTGGGGTCCATTTTTCTGCCCTCTCAAGAAAACTCAAGTTATGAATTTCCTATAGGTATGAACAAGTTATTGGATTTTATAGGAGCAAGAGAAGCTGTTGTACCTATTCTTAAAGCCATCATTGAGATGCGTAATCCGATATAAATCATATAAGATCTTCTTACTCGAGTGGAAGAATCTTTTAAGAATATCAAATCGGAGAACTTACCTTCTCATATGAAGCTAATAGTAGTACATAATCGACCTGATCTAGGGCACCACCATTTCATGCCTCCTCAATGATCTTCGTGTAATAGATGATCTCATAGAAATCGAGATTAGCCTAAACGCGATGCCCTACCACTACAAGAAATCAGAGATTTTATGTCGGTTACTTTGTGTCAATTCAGATAACCAACACAAATTTGTAGTTTTGTGTCCACTATGTTTACATAACACTTTGGATTACAATTTGGAGGAGGCAACCATGGAGATAAAGCTAGTCAACAACATTTTGTTGTCCTAAAGGTGTGGTAAAGAATACCAAAGTCGATACAGGGTCTTTTGTCTTCCCTATCAACTTCTTAGAACTCAACACGGATAGATATAAAGACTACTCTATCCTATTTTGAATGTCTTTATTGCCCACATCCAATGCATTAATCAACATTCCTACATGTAGGAATGTCGATTAACATATCAAAGACGGATGCTAAGGAACGAATGTACCACATTCTTTTGACCCCCCCCCCCCCCAATTAGATCTAATAGTGACTCCTCATAATCTCTTACGTCGAACGTTTGGGAAGATGTCGACACAATCCTTCCAATTAATATGAAAAAGGAGTTGGAATTCAACTCTAGGGAACTCGCTATCACCTGAAAATAAGAGAGTTCGAGGAAATGACACACAGTTTACACGTGCGCGTCTACGAGCCTCCTAGTGAAGCTTACAACGCAACACCAAATGGTTTCCTAGAACAATCTCCTTCAGACAATTGAAGAGGAAAATGGACACCAATGCCCATGCCTAGATCAAAGGAATAAAAGAAAGAGTGCTCCTTGGGGGTAACCCATATTATCGTCTAACTTGAAACGTTAAAGCAAAGGGACTACCGAGAAATAGTCCGATTTTTTTCTTGTGTAGTTTTCGAGATTTGACTCATTATTAATAAAGTTGGATGATACGTTAGTATTCCATGAACTTAATTGTTTAGCTCGTCGATTTTTGTGGAAGGCGACGAGGTTGGTCATTCATTCATAGCTTCTTCGTTTCAAAGGTATGTCCTACTCAAACTTTTTCTAGATTTCTTGTGCTTTAAAAGATGTGGTTGTGCATGGTATACATTGAAAAACAAGATTTTTAGAGGCCGCGAATCATAGAAGAACCACTCCACCCACCCGAAATGACGGAAAAATTGGCAGGTAATGCCTCATTTTTCCACTCTGAGTCGGGTTATGATTCTTAGCCTCCAGTTTACCCATTATGTTTTCCCACAAGGCCTGATGCCTTAAGCCAAAATTGCATTACTTTTTTACCCTTCTGCCTTACAATACTAACCAAATGTCTCTATGCATCACCTATATATGATTCCCCTTACAACTTCATACACTATCACTTCTTTCTTAATCATAATGTACTAAATATGCTTGGCAATGTAAGCTAGATTTCTAGTGCGAAGGCACTTAATTTCCAACCCTCCTTCCTGTTTAGGAAGATTAATTTTGACCCAAGCAACCACTAACCTACATCTCACAGATTTTTCACCAATCCTCCATAGGAAATTACTGCATCTAACTTCAATTTCCTTGATCACTTTTAAGGGCAATAGGAAAATGTTCATATGGTATTGCGACATACTTGATATTACTGAGTTTATAACCTGTATTTTACTAGTGTAACTCAACATTCGAGGCCTCACGCCTTTCAGTTTAGCTTCTGGCTTGCTGAAATCCTGTAAGAGTAGCCAATGCTTCATTCTTTTCATCATTCAAACTAGCACATAATATCTTACTCTTCTCATAATTAAACCTTAACCCATAATTGAGATAGAAATTGTTTAATAACCTAAACACCTCATGTACAGCTTGCTCTGATCCATCAGTTAACACTAGTAAATAATCAACAAAGGCTAGGTGAGTGATTTTAGCTGTTTACATCTCAGGTGATATAGAAAAGAGCCTTCCTCAACAACATTTTTTAAAACACATGAGACTGCCTCCATATAAATAGTGAAAAGGAAAGGAGATAGAGGTTCTCGTTGCCTCAACCCTTTTGTTGCTAGAAAATACCCACACATCCCTCCATTCACAACAACACTTATAATTGGTGTTGCAATGCGTGCTTTAATCCACTCAAAGAATTTATCAGGTAATCCCATAGCCTTCATAAAGTACTTGTCTCATAGACAACACGACCCTTTATACGACTATGGCCTACCTTGCTTTCTGCAAGTTGTCGCCTACCATAAGCTAGCTTTGAATTTGATACTTTTGTTGGGGAGATTATGTGCTATTAGACAGCCTCTGGGGCTGTCAAGTTAGGTGCTCATCTTCTAAGCGTCATAGAATTAGATTTATGGAGATTGCCTTTGAGGAGATGAAGCACATGCTCTCTTTGTTTTTCATTTTTTTTTATTTTCTAGTTCAAAATCGTCAATAATCAAGATGAACTGGCCAATTGTGTATGGATTCAAATGATGATCAAGGTAAGTTTTTTCTGATTTGCTTGGGCTAATGAGAATGTTGTTCAATTTAAAGTGTGGGGTGAGTTTAGTAGACTGCACTTGCGGCTATCTTCTAAAAATTGTTTTTTTTTATCTATGTATATGGGGGACAACTTTGTGTGCATCATGAATAAAAATTTCAAAATTTTGAATAATGACACACTCCTCTTAGCAATTTCAAAGCTCGTCCTACTTAAAATTGCTAGTCTTGGCATTGATACGTGATCGAGGGAGGTTAGTATAGTGGTTATGAAGGATGTTCTCCTCATGAGACTAAAGACGTTTCTATGTGTCTGGAGACAATTCATGCCATCAATATCCTCAATGAGTTCTTATATGCAGGGAAACTTTCTCATTTTCCGACTTGGTGCTGGGTTGTATCCAATATACAACAAATAGATTGAATTTGTAAGTTCATGAATTTGTGGCTCGGATAGAATGCATTTGTGTTAGAATTAGAGAGAGATATCTTTTTAGCAAAGGCAAAGTGAGAACGACCAATAATTCTTGGATCCGAGTTGCATTTAATTTGTGCACCATTTTTAAAATTTTAAAAGTTTAGGTATTGAATTGTCATACTAAATAACCTAAAGAAACTAAAATAAATCATTTAAGCAAATCTTTTGTAGAGAATAAAAAATTTAACTACTGAATCATAATATATAGAAATTTATTGGATTTATATCAAGTGGAGATGAAATAGGTGGATTATTTAATTGATGTATTCCATTACTGTAATTTTTCACTTCACTTTTAATGGTACATTTTGTTGGCCGGCACTGGACAATGTAAGGCTTGACTAGGATTTTGTGGTGAATCCTAGTTAGAATTGGAACGGTTAGACATTGAGTGAATAACATCCAAGTGGTACCTTTTAGTCCGACTAGATATGTTGTAAAGTTAGTGCAGAAGAACTTCAATACGTGCTGATATGGTTGAATTGTGTATGTCACTATCTTAATGCAATGAATAAAAAAAACACGATACAAAGATTCAACAATGTCGCGTGACATTAGCTGACCATCCTGTGTGTTAACATACTAGCCAAATTTTCCTTCCAGTACCCCCTTCTTTCCTCATTGAAAATGGATTACCTACGTACGCACTCAAAATAAATTCTCTCTCTCTTATGGTTCAATGCTTTGGTCGAGGGAGGGGCGGCCATGTTCAACAATAAACCGTCATCTTCAACTGCTTTTCTTCTTTGCATATATAGTTATTTCACAACTGTAAGTCCTTTACGTGCAAACAAGCAATTAAGAAGTAGGTAGCTTTGTTTTTTTTTTTTTGGTTTCCTCGTTCGGTTACTGTAGACAATAGGAATCCTCGAGGGGGAGCAGCATAATAATAGAGATGGATCCACGAGCAGTGCTTTAACTCGCTGTGAGATGAGGCAATTAGGCATTTTAGTATAGAAATCCTAGTTGGTTGCGCATGTGTATATTTAATGCATAAACAGGACCTTGGAACATGGGCAAGAAAGTCTAGCTAGGTCCGTGCTAGCTTTTGAAGCCCCTCAAGTTCTATACTAAGTGGTTGCAAGTGCACACTTATAGTATTACTGCATCCCCCATGTTTTCTCTCCTCCTTTTTCCTCCTTCCAAGTTTCAATGCCACAAACCAGGAGGAGCTGCTGCTGCTGCTGCAACTTTGCCTAATCTCGCTGCTCAACTCGACTCCGTCTTCTAGAAGGTGAACCCCTCTCCTCTTCTTAATCAATGATGGTTATTAATTATACCCAAAGTTACCAAGTCTGTTGCCAACTTGATTAGGAAAAAAAAGAAAGGAAACGAACTAATAAATTTTCCTTAATAGTAAATAATGTGAAAACAGGAAGGAAATCTTCACCTAGCTAGTCTACACATATATATTCTTTGCTTATTTAAGATTTGCTTGCGTGTGAGGAGAAAGCATATGTATATATATATGGCACTAAAGATATGCCCGCCCGCGTGTGTATGGGGATTTCTGTCTTGTAGCTGCTGTTCTGCATATGGCCGCATTGGCATTGGTGCTGCTTTCATTGGCGAAGAAGAACAAGTAGCAGCAGCAGCAGCTAGTGGTGGCGTGGCGTGGCGTGGCGTGGGATTGTGCTAAGCCCAAGGAGGGAGGGAGGGAGTTGTGGCTAAGCCCCTCTGGGAACTGGGCCGAACCGTTTTTGTTTGGTAGTAGTAATTACTAGTATAATGTACATAGGTTAGTGTAAAATTGTCGGTTTCCGGAAATTTTTGCTTTCTGGGGGTGGGGCGGGCGTCGTTTTCAACAGCAAGCAAGCAGCACTGGGCTCTCCAGCATGTGCACCGGAAGTGGTGCTGAATCTCGAGGAGGGGTTATAAGTAGCGATGACTGGATTTCCAAGGCCGACGACGACCAACAGAATCCGCTGCTGGTGCAGGGAGTTCCTAATAATGCAGCCGCAGGTTCTGCTGCTGCGGCTGCGGCAGAGTCAGCAGCAGCGATGAGAGCAAGAGGCGGACAGGCCAAGTTATTCGTCGATGGGCTTCTCCGCCGGCTTCCCATTAACGGCCAACTCGCCACGCTCCCATTGCAAGAGGTTAGTAATTAAACTCCATCCTCTTGCGCGCCTTATCGCTTTACACTTGAGCCATGTACGTCGGATAATATATATATCTATACATATCGCCTATGCGTGAAAAAGTAAAGGTGTCGCCTTTGCGAAAAGTAGTCCATCTCAACCGAATGCCCATTTACTGGAGTTTTTGTTTTGATTCCTGGGTTCCTTTCCAGATTCAGTTAATTAGCCTTCTCTCTCTACTTCCCCCTGTTCTCTTCCAAATCCCTCCATTGCAAGAAGCATGTTGTGGATAGAGATAGGCGTCAGTTTGCCTTGTTCTCGTTGGATGCACCAGTTTCAAACAGTAAGGTTACTGCTCTCACGGTACAAGCAGAGAGAGGCAAAAAAAACCCTTGGAAAGTGGGTTTTGGTAGGCAGAATTGTGGCATTGCCGAGGTAGTAGAGGTGGAGACAGGCTGACGAAGCATTGACGCATATTCAGGATGGTAACGGGGTAAAAGGCCGGCTAAGTAAGTTAGAGTAATAATAATTAGTACCACCCACCCGGAGAGAACCCAAAAAAGCCGACAAAGGGGAAACCCATCTTTAACATGGGACACTATAATTAGGGCAAAAAAAAAAAACAATGGTTAGGGATCCCACCTTTTGCCTGCAGGCTGCTGCAGCAACCCTTATATATCCTACGCTTTTACCTTTTCTTTTTAGTTCTTTTCTTCTCTCTTTCCCTGCAGGTTATTATCACTTATCATTGTCCCTCCCTAGACAAAAATCCCAATGAAAATGACATTTTTTTTTTTGGGTACAATATGCTTTCGGTACTTACTTTTAACGTTAAAAAGGAATAAGGAACACCTGCTCCTGAAACTGGCAGCCCTCTCCCTCTGTCCCTATTCAATCCTCTTACTTTTTAGGGGGGGACATACGCATACCTCATAGTACAGAGGTCCCAGTTCCAAGTTCGTTATCAGTACCCTAAACCACGTGCGTCTCCCTTTTGCCTTGCCTTGCATTGCATGTTAATGTTATTCAATTCTGCTCGTGGGCTAGGCTTTGCCCGTCTACTGGGCCACCGCTTTATGCCAACCTTAACGATTTCCCCCTTGTCTTGCAGGTTGGAGAAGAGGTAGTCTCGTTAGGAAGGATCGCTTGCCCCATCATCCTCACAACCCTACTCATCCACTCGAGATCCATCGTGTCCACTCTCTTCCTGAGCCATTTAGGCGACGTGGAGCTGGCCGGTGGGTCACTGGCACTGGGCTTCTACAACATCACCGGAGTCTCCGTCATGAAGGGCCTCTCCGCCGGGATGGACCCAATATGTGGGCAGGCCTTCGGAGCCAAGAGATGGGCCGTCCTCAGCCAGACCTACCAGAAGATGCTCTGCCTCCTCCTCCTCGCTTCCACGCTCCTCATCTGCCTCCTCTGGCTCAACCTGGAGCCCATCTTCCTCCGGTTCGGCCAGGACCCGGACATTGTCAAGTTCGCCAAAGTCTACATCATCTACTGCATCCCGGAGCTCATCGGTCAGGCCGTCCTCCACCCCATGAGATCCTTCCTCCGGACTCAAGGACTCACCACCCCGCCGACCATCGCCGCAATCATCGCAGCCATCTTCCACGCGCCCATCAACTACCTTCTGGTGATACAGCTCAACCTCGGGGCTAAAGGTGTGGCCCTGTCACTAGCCTTCAGCACCATGAACATGAACATAGGGCTGCTCATCTACGTGGCCATGTCGTCCACGTCGATCAAGCCGTGGCGCGGGCTCACTTTCGTCTCCATGTTCCAAGGCTGGTGGCCGTTGCTGTCGCTGGCTCTGCCTTCGGTGATTTCGGTTTGTTTGGAGTGGTGGTGGTACGAGATCATGTTGTTCCTGTGTGGTTTGTTGGCCGACCCGAAAGCCAGCGTGTCAGCCACGGGGATTCTGATTCAGACCACGGGGTTGCTCTACGTGTTCCCGTTCTCGCTGAGCTGTGGGCTGAACACGCGCGTGAGCCACGCTCTCGGTGCGGGGCAGCCGACGAGGGCGCAGTGGACGAGCGTGATCGGGATCAGCCTGGCGTTCGGGTACGCGATCCTGGCCTGTGTGTTCACCAATTTCTTGGGGGAAGCGTGGGGGAAGCTCTACACGCAGGATCCGGACGTTGTGAAGCTGATATCCATTGGGCTTCCGATTGTGGGCCTGTGCGAGCTGGGGAACGCGCCTCAGACGGCTGCGTGCGGGGTTTTGAGTGGGACGGCCCGGCCCAAGGAAGGGGCCAGGATCAACTTGTTTGCGTTTTATTTGGTTGGGTTCCCGGTTGCCATCTTGTTGACTTTCCAGTTGAAGATGGGATATCGTGGGCTGTGGCTTGGGCTTTTCTCGGCCCAAGTCGCGTGTGTGTCCATGATGCTGTATACCTTGTTGAAGACGGATTGGAAACACCAGGCGAAGAGGGCGGAGGAGTTGACTGCTGCTGTGGGAGAAAGGGATGATTTGGAAGACGGCTTGATCAACGACAGTAACGACGAGCGATGAAGACCATCTTGCTGTCTTGTCCCCCCCAATGGTTATAACATCTAAGTCTAACCCTAAACCAAAAAAAGGATTAAAAAAAAAGATACGTAAACAGATCAAAGAGTGCAAATATGTCCCGTTTTGTTTCATTTATTGTTATGATCATTAGATAATTGATTGATTTTTTTATAACAATCATCTGTTAGTTCAACTGTTCAAGTCATGCTGATAATGACCTACTATTTACTTCTTCCGTTCTTTTTTTTTTTTTTTTTTGTTATTAGCAGTATGCAAGTTTGCAAACATCATCCTTATAACATAAGATTCGAAACAAACCAAACTCCAAAAACATCTAGCAAAAAATAAACTCCAATGTTAATTAAAGCATGATAATAGGATCGAAGGCTAGTAATCCATTATGAACCTAAAGGCAATTCTTGCATATAAAAGTATCCTCTCACTTAGATATGATAGATTAAAACTTGTCATTTTTTTCGAGTTAGTTATGTTAGTAAATATATTCGGTTTTAATTGAAATGATATCACAGTCTTCATTGATCGAGAGATTTATTGTTTAAATTTCAATAACATCTCTCATGTTAAGCACATAGTATTCATACTTGTGCATACATATTTTCTATGATTAATCAGATTTTTATTGAAGCAGAATAAGGGTTCTCAATTTAAGAACCTCAAAAGAGAGTTACAATTTACTTACACGCTCAACAGAAAATGATTGATGCTATACTAAATGAACCAGTACAATCACTACTATTCAATCAATCTGTAACATACCATTTCCCAGACAAGCAAGCTCGAATGTACTCTTTAACTTATTTATGCATTGAAATCCTTATTACACTATATATGAGATCTGCTACACCTCTTCCTCCATAGCATGTTCACCATTATATTCCATAACATACGCCAAATTTTTGCAATTGATTTTCTTCCTCCAAACTGATGTACTGCCACTTCAAATACTCACTTCTACACTGCGTATGTATAAATTGTAAACACCTCTGCACTAGGCTGAGAAACGATGCGGTCTGGTCCAGATCAGACCGTATACACGGTTTATGGTTCACACCGAGAGGCTGAAGTATAGACCACATACTAGACCACATATTATACGGTCCGGTCCAAACCACGCATGTGCGATCTGGTTTGGTCTGATCCAGATAGACCACACTCAACGAAAAATGAACAATTTGTTTAGTCAACCACACAAAAAATTGAACCAATAATCAAGAAAATTAATTTTTATTGCCTTAAAACATTAATCCTAACATGCATAAATAAATTTGATACCCTAAATCTTAGTACATAACAAAGATATTAAGTAAAAGCATCCCAACTTGCACCATAACGTTATAAACATTAATATAATGTCATATGGAGACACGATTATCTCTACTCTCTGGTTAAGTGTGGTTGTGAATGAAGGAGGGATGAGATTCACAAAATTAAGGTTGAGATTTGGGTGTCGTTGTGGGAGTTGGGAGAGTGGTCGAATGGGTTGTTAACACGTATTGACAAGTCGGTTGGGACCAAGGTTTGGTCCGGTAAACCGCAATCTAGACCAGACCAGATCAAGAGATCAAAACATAAAATAATACAGAACATGGACTAGACCAGACCATACTTAACGGTCTACGGTTCGGCCCAAACTGTGCGGTACGGTTTGGACCACGATTTTTCTAACAGTCTGATATATTTTCCCAGCCTACTCTGCACACAGATTGAGAGTACATACAATCAAAGAATATGAGGTCTCGAGCCTCCTGGCCAACTACACAAAATACCTATACCATTAGTGACTTTCCCCCATTGCTTTAGCTTATCTCGCAATTTTGCCCATACCCATGGGTGTTTTACTATCCAACTCAATTGGATTGGGTATGAAATCCAAATAGATGGTAGATGGTAAAATTTGATGGGTTTGTGGGTGGCTATACGGTCCAGTCCGGTTAAATTGTCCCGAATTGATCCGATCTCGGTCCGGTCTTTTTGGGAATATAAGGACCAAAGATTGGATTGGATACAGTCCGATATTGATTTGGTCCGATCTTGACCTGGTCTGTTCCCAATTCAGTTTTGATTTTAGATTGAGTTTGTGGAAATTTGAGTGGCCTGAGACCTCAAAAGGTGAGGAGTTGATTAAGTTTTGGGTGTTGGACTCTCTTATGCGGTCTTTATCCGGTTTTGATCTGTCTCAAACGGGTTTTTACCTCAAATCTAAGTCCGAAGATGGAATTGAATTGTTTGCTATTCGGTACAGTCCTGGTCCGGGTTATACGGTACAATTTCGGATAAACCCAAAAAGCCTGGACCAAATAGGCAGCCTTAGGTTTGTACTCATACCCATTTACTTGAGTTGAATTGGGGTTTTAACAAGTGGATTTGGGCTTGTACTCATGCCCAAATGCAAATTATAGTTTGATATCTTAACTTAATAGATAAGCATATTTAGTACCTAAATTTAATGTTTTTGCATATAAGTCCTCCAAATATCGATAGAAAATTATATTTTAATACCTAAAATTTTTTGGTCTTACATTTTGGTACCTAAACTTTTCAAATTTTACAAATAGGTCAAATTTTTGTATGTGTAATTAAAACACCCTCAAGTAAATGATATCCATATCTAACACATACCCATTTAGATTATGAAAGCAATATCCAAAGAAGCAGTTTGGATGGATTAATTGTCAATGTGAGTAACTCGATCGATGCACTGTTCTGAACAACCCGCAACCCGATCCGCCCGCAACCCGCCCGACCCAAAATTCGATTCACCCGCAACCCGATTGAACCCGAACCCAATGAACCCACAACCCGACTAACTCGCAACCCAATTGAACCCGAACCCAATTGATCCAAAACCGATGAACCCACAACTCGACGAACCCGAAACCCGACTACCTAAACTCACCCAATTAAACCCGACCCGAACTCGCCCGATTGACACATATAGTCATTACTGCAGCTGTTGTTACTTCTTGCAACTTGATGTTCATCGGCGGCGATCTATCATGGTTGGTATGGGTGATATCCACATGTTGGATTATAAGTCAACCGCTTCATGCAGACTTCTGACTAACGGGCGTAATCTCAAGATTCTTGAAGCTGACCGAGTAAATGGTGTGCGTCAGCAGCCGGCGGATGAGGCTGTACAACTTTTTCTTTCTTTTTCCTGGGAGAGTTGAATGTTTCTACTGTTTTTCCCCTTTCCAGAATGAAAGGAGGTTCGTTTGCCTCCTCAATCTGGAAGGGCCGGGCTGACCCGGAATGTGGATTGGGCCCGTTTGGGCTGATGATCCAAAGACGAGGATGCCGTGCAGCTCTGTTGCTTGCCCTCAATAAGAAATTTCTTCCCTCAGGCAGTCAGACTCTGACCGTGGAAACAAATTTGTCGAACCTAAAATTGACTATCTGGCTCTTCCCTTTCCCGTTCGAACAACCGTTGGATCTGTGTTACTGTCCACGTGTCGTGTTTGTGGCTCTTCACCGGTCAATTAATTCGTCGACCCAAAATTACCCTGAAATCTCAACCAGCAGGTACCATATACAATACGTTTCTTTTTTGAAGGAGTAGGGAAACCAGAAAATTGAACAAAGTACGAAAGAAGACTGAAGGTCAATGCACCCTCAGATGTATAGTTTACAGAGAGGAGGAGAGACTGAAAGAGGGAGAGGTTGAAGAAGACCGCAAGCCAACAAGCGGAGAAGATTGGAGCAGGAAAACTTATCGTAAAGGCTAAACAAGTAAGTCCACTGTAGAGAGGTAGATAGAAGTCTAGATAGACAGAGACACAGAAAAACCTCTTGGTTGTGGTTTCCAGATCCAGAGAAGACGCAGCAGATTGCTTCTTCCAGTTCACGAACTTGACCTTTTGGTTCATCAATTCTGAACCTTCTTCTGCCATCGAGGATTCGTTGTATTTGTTTCGGTTCCCGATTTTGGGATTGCGGAATTTCTTTGATCTTCAAATCTCTTGGCTTCCTCAATTGCTACGACTAGCATCGAGAAGCGAGAAGCGAGAAGCCACAGCCTCAGTGTTTGCAGCTCATAATCAAGCTGAGTAGCTTGGGAAAACAAGAAGGAGGAGAAGAAGAAGATAAGAGAGGTGGGGGAGTTCTGCGATGAAATGGGGGAAAGCGGTATTGGGACTGCGAATGCGGCCGCCTTGCACACCGCAATCAACTCCGTACAAGCGCTCGGGAGAGGGTTCGATGTCAACTTCGATACCCGCTTGTTGTACTGCAAAGGAATAGGTGGCTCGAGGTTACTCCAGATTGACCAGGATAGTGCCAGAGATCTCTTTCTCTACGATGACGTTGTTGTCCCCCACGTTTCCAGGGACATCAGGAACTCTCCTGGCTCTCATGGCCGCCAGAGCTCTGGAGTCTGCACTTTCTCTGAGGTAAAAGAAAACCGATCTCTCTTCTATTCTTCCTCTCCTTTGTTTTCGCCAGATTGGGCTTCACCTGCCGACTTTTGAATTAGAGTTTTGGGGCTTGTGGGAGTAGCTTCATCTCTATATTTATGTATATGTGCGGCACTTAATGGAGTTGCCCTTGCAAATTGACTGCTTGGAGATGGACTAAGTTTACAGTCACAAGTGGTTATCTGCTTTAGCAGTTATCAGTGGTGATGTTCAGTGCCACTATAAGGGGCTTCTAAGTGTGCCTGTTATCCATGATTCGAATAGCGGCCAACAATCCTCTTTGGTGATGCTTGTAATCCTTGTATGATTGGATTGCCTTAATACTATCGACAGTCTAATTTACACAATGATGATGCCTGCAGATGGTGGAGTATTTCAATAAAAAGACCGATCTATCAGGAAGTTCTCCTCTTGGTAGCTTCAATTCTGCGTTTAGCTTTAGTGGTTCCAAGCACATTGATGCTGCTATGACTAAGACCCTCTCCATGGATGGCTATTACATTCCCCTTGCCAAGGTCGAGCTTTTCAGATCACCATTAGTGTTGCAAGACAATGTGAAACGGGCTGTGCCAACTAGCTGGGATCCTGCTTCATTGGCTAGGTATGGGACTTGAATTTTTTTATTAATGCATATTTATAGCATCATGGTTGTCTTCTTTTCCTTTTCACTTCGTTCATGATTTCCATCTACTCTTGACAGCTTCATTGAAACTTTTGGCACACATGTTATCACTTCTGTCACTGTTGGTGGCAAGGATGTTATATATGTTAAACAACATCAATCTTCAGCTTTGTCAAAGATGGAGATGAAAAATTATGTCCAAGATATTGGAAATCAAAGGTTCTCTGACACAGAGGGTCACACGAGTTCAGGCCCATTGAAGATCAAGGATAAGGTTAGTTCCAGGACATCTGTTTATTTGTGCTCCTTTCTTTCTCATTGAGTTTTTTTATCACAAGCAAGTTTTCCCCTCTGAATTTTACAGAGTGCTGATGCTGGAATCTTTAACAGCCAGGGCATATACCCACAACCCACCAGTGCACCGTGTCTGTCCGGGAAAGAGGTCTGCTTTTGATTATAGATCTTGTTTCTACTAATTTTTATCATTTGTCTGTTAATGTATGGGCTCCTTTAATTTAAGGTTGTGTCGCAATGTGTCAATGCAGGACGTGACAGTCATTTTCAGAAGGAGGGGTGGAGATGATTTGGAACAAAGCCATACCAGATGGGCAAGAACTGTGCGTTCTTCTCCAGATGTGGTTCATATGACTTTCGTTCCCATAACCGATCTTCTTAATGGAACTCCCGGAAAGGATCACCTAGCTCGAGCAATCAGTCTATATCTTGAATGTAAGGCCACTAGGTTGCTTCCTTTTTCTACTGGGACCAGTTAGAAAGGTCCATACTCCTGCTAACTGTTCCTTCTCTCTCCCCTCTTACCTCTTATCATCATGCACAGACAAACCTCAGATTGAAGAGCTGAGGTATTTTCTGGAGTTTCAGATACCACGGATATGGGCTCCTGTACATGACAAAATTCCTGGCCACCAACGGAAGGAACCTGTTTGTCGGTTTCTGCATTTCAGCATAATGGGGCAAAAGCTGTATGTTAGCGAGGAGCAGGTACTGTGACCCTTCTACTTACCTACCAAGTGGCGTGTTTAATTGATTTTAGTAAGTAAAATCCAAGTCTTAGGAGAAGAGAATGAAAATTGTATAAGCTATTTTACAGAAAGCAGAGTTGACAAGATATGCAATATTTGTAGTAATAGAAAAGTGACTTGATTCTTTAATAGACAACTGAGTGAGTTTTGGGGAATGACAATAGAGTTGACAAGATTCTTTAATAGACAACTGAGTGAGTTTTGGATTCTCTTAACAGAACTAATTTTTGTTTTAGATGAGTAAGATTAAATTGGAATTGAGTTTTTCCCCCATAGTGATGTGGTCTCTTGCTTTTAATGATTTGTGGCTTTCCATGTTGAATAGTGGTTTTAGAAATTTAGATTTGAGTGTGTTTTACTCACTTTTCTGTGGTTTACATTACAGGAAGTATAGTTAGGTAACACACCCCCATAAGCTTGATCACATTCCTAAGCAGATGCTAAGACTTGTTCTGTTAGTTGTTACTATGACTCGCTAGTCGCTACCCTTCCACTTCCTGTGTGTCTAAGGGGCATCTTTTGCTTTTGCATCCCCGTAAAGAAGTATTGAATTTGTCTCTTTATATAAGTTGACCTGCAATCTTAGCTCATCCATTTCATGATGAAATGAAACCCTCCTGCGTGCTTAGTGTTTTGAGATATCACTAGTATGATCTATGTGAGCTTTATGACTTGCCTTCTGATTGTTGTTTCTTGACTGACTTGACACTCCTACAGGTATCAGTAGGACGGAAGCCAGTAACAGGGTTAAGGTTATGCTTGGAAGGAGCCAAACAGAACCGACTGAGCATTCACGTACAACACTTGGCATTACTTCCCAAAATCCTCCTCCCCTACTGGGACACACATGTGGCGATTGGTGCTCCCAAGTGGCAGGGCCCCGAGGAGCAGGACAGCCGATGGTTTGAGCCGGTGAAGTGGAAGAACTTCTCCCATGTCAGCACCGCACCGATAGAGAACCCTGAGAGCTTTATAGGCGACAATGTCGGGGTTCATGTGGTCACGGGAGCACAGCTTGGAGTGTGGGAGTTTGGGTCGAGAAATGTTTTGTACATGAAGCTTTTGTACTCACGTTTGCCAGGGTGTACAATACGGAGGTCGCTGTGGGACCATTGTCCCAGTGATAACAAGGTGAAGAAAGTTACAACCACTGTAAATAGCAGCAGCAGCAGCAGTGCAGGAGGGGATTCAAGCTCGGAGAACACGGCAGTGGGTAAGAAGTTGGCGAAGTTTGTGGATATGTCAGAGATGAGTAAAGGGCCGCAGGATCCGCCAGGGCATTGGTTGGTGACCGGTGGCAAGTTGGGAGTGGAGAAGGGGAAGATCGTGTTGAGAGTAAAGTACTCTCTGCTGAATTACTGAAGTCCAGAGATTGTAGGGTGGTTGAAGTTGCAGAAGAAGAATGATTGTGATGGGGTTTGTAATGCAATGCAATGCTGTACCATATAAATTACATAAAGTGGAAGGATGATTTGTGTTTGAGTAGGTTGGGTGGGGGATGATATGTTGATGTTGGCAAGAGTTTCACTTCATTCTGGTGAGGAGAAACTGCCGTTTTGCGTGATTGAATAGCTTTGAGTAGTGAATTTTTGTAGGGGATGTACGTATTGGGATTATGTCCCTTGGTGGGGGGATCCGAGGATTGGTTTGCCTTCGTTTTTAGTGTATGGAATAGTCGCGGGCATTTGGGGACGTCAATCGTTTACAGTTGCAGACGAGCTGAAGTTACCGAACCTTCTGGTCGTGTTCTTGATTGCAAAAAGTGTTCAATAGTCATTTGTCAATACCGCATGGCATCTATGCGCAAAAATACTCCGCCTATGTGCGAAGCATGTGTTTACAATGGTCACAATCGCCGGATCGTGCATTGAGCTCTCATGGTTCAGTGATTATGTTAGAAATTCGGATCTACGCTTCTGCTCCATATCCGCAGGGGCCAACCTCACAAACCCCTTTGGTGGCAGTTGGACTGCAATTTTGTTGCGTGGTGGTGCACCCGTGGCGATCGGGCTTGCCGTTCCTGGTGGTTGCATAGTCGCCGCCCCTAGCTCAGCCCTCTGGAGCTCAAACGTCCACCTGGTCCGCCTGTAGCCTTCTGGAACCGCCCCACACTTCCCTTATAGTTGGCTAACTCCTCCTTCCGACCTGCAAGTCTAAAAGCAACTCGCAGAGAGTCAGTGTAACACATGGAATATTGGGTTCAGGTTCGACCATATTAAATGAACGGTTGGATTGAGAGTTACGTACAAAAACCTCATGTAAAACCCAACCAGATTGAGGACCAGGACCTAATTAATCGACGTGGCCCAAATCGATCGTTTCCCGGCGGAAGGGTTGCAACATGGATTAAGAGTAATAATGATAATAATTAGTATTATTATTAGGTATGAGTATATAAATATACACATAAAGTCAAAACAAACCCTAAACCAATTTGTTCCTAGTGGCAACCCAGAGAGAGAAAAATCCTAATTGTCAAATTCTTCTGTTCCTTCTCCACTACTATGACGATCTAGGGAACTCGGCGTCTTGAGAGCTAAGAACAAGAGAGAGAAAGAGGGGAATAGAGAAGGAAGAACAGAGAGAGAAGAGAGAGAAAGTAGATTAGGAGGGAAAAGTTGTTAGGATCCGTTGGATGCCTTTACATGTGGCTAGCCCGACGTATTTATACTGCTGTGGCCAAATTACAATATCAGTCTCAAACTTCTAATTATGCTCATTCTATCTTACATTCTTTACAATTTAGTCCCAATCGTTACAACTGCCCTTCTCTTACAACCGACTTGTCCTCAAGTCGCAAATGCTGGAAACCTGAGCTTGAATTCGTCCAAGTACTCTCACGTAGCATCTTCTTCCATCTGGACAGACCAACAAACCAGAACTTGAGTTGTAGCTTGATTTGCTCTGGCCAAAAATGTCCGAGCTAGAATCTCTTCAGGTTCCAATTTCAAGCTACCTTGGTCATCCAATGCTGCAATGTAGGCTGCACTGTCACTGAAGTTCCTCGAGCCTTCTTGAGTAATGAGACGTGGAAGACAAGGTGGATGCTTGTGCCTGGAGGTAGCTGCAACTTGTAGGCAACTTCTCCCATCTTCTGCAGGATCTCAAAAGGACAAAAAAATTTGGGAGCAAGCTTCTGGTTAGCTCTATCCGCAACTGTCATTTGCCTGTAGGGTCGGAGTTCAAATAAACCTTCTCCCCCACTTGAAAAGTTCTTTCAGTTCGGTGGGCATCAGCCATCTCGATTTTGAGCTTTGGCCAAATTATCCCTCATAATCTCTACCAATCTCTGTTGTTGTTGGAGCATATCAGCCACTGCTGCAAAAGGGGTAGATAGTGAATTCTGTATGGCAAAGTGAACTGGAGAGTAGCCATAAAGTGCTTCAAATTGTGTGATATGCAAACTAGAATGATAGTTAGTATAGTACCACCATTCCGCTAATGTCAACCATGATGCCCAGGACTGTGGTGTGTGATGAATCATTCCCCTTAAGTACTCCTCCAAACAATGGTTGAGCCGTTTTGTTTGTCCATATGTCTGTGGATGGTAAGCAATGGAGTAATGAAGTTGAACTCCTTGTAACTCGAACAACTTGGACCAAAATGATGAACTGGTAAAGACGGGATCCCTGTCAGAAACAATTGTTTGTGGCATACCATGCAGCCAAAAAATGCCATCAAAGAACGCCCGAGCAATGGAACTGGCAGTGTAAGGTCGAGGGATACTGAAAAAATGACCATATTTAGGAAACTGATCCACCACCACCAGGATCATTTCCTTTCTATTGGACTTAGGAAGGCCTTCCACAAAATCTAAAGAGATATGCTGCCAAGCTCTGTCAGGTATGGGTAAAGGTTGCAACAAACATGGATATTGAACGTTCTCAGTTTTACACCTTTGGCAAATGTCACAACCTGCTATGAAAGTCTTTAAGTCTCTCTTGAGTCTAGGCCACCAAAAATAGCTCTTAAGTCTGTGATATGTACCCTGCAAACCAGAATGACCTCCCACCGAAGAGTCATGGAATAAACTCATCAATTGCTGTCTCATGGTACCTACAGCCCCTACAAAGATAGCTTCCTTGTGATACAACGACCCTTACCTAACAGAGTAGATCCTAGGGCCAACAAATGGAATAGAAGCCTCATTTATCGGTGCTTGCACTTCAGTGTCCCCAATGTAAGTTGACTCCAGTTCTGCCAACCAGGTAGGAAGAACATGAATAACAGCCTGGCAAGTGCCCTTAGACTCAAAGCTAGGATGTCTTGATAATGAATATGCTACCTTATTGAAGGGACCCTGCCTGTACTTAATCTCAAAATCCAATCCCAGTAGTTTAACCAACCCCTTCTTCTGAATTCGTGTATGAATCTTTTGGCCCAGCAAATGCTTGAGGCTTTCATGATTTGTAACAATAGTGAACTGCCTTCCCTTAAAATAATGGTCCACTTGCCTACTGCCAATAGAACTGCTAAGTACTCCTTCCCATAGGTTGAAAGACCTTGTTTTCTAATTCCCAAAGCCTAACTTAGGTAAGCTAAGAGCTTCCCACCTTGAGACAGAACAACACCTATCCCAATATCACTGGCATCCGTTTCTAGGACAAATGGTTGTGAAAAGTCACGTAATGCTAGTACTAGGGCTTGTATCAAGGCAGTTTTATGTAACTCAAAAGCCCTCTGAGCTGCTGGAGACCACACAAAACTGTCCTTCTTGAGTAGTTCGGTTAAAGGCTTCCATATAACCCCATAATCCTTCGCAAACTTCCTGTAATACCTAGTCAACCCTAAAAACCCTCTCAATTTCTTAACTGTCTTACGAGTAGGTCAAGCTTGCATAGCCTCAACCTTGCTTGGGTCAGTAGCTACCTCTTCCTTTGTGATCACATGACCTAGATATTCCACATGTGTTTGTCCAAAGGAGCATTTAGAAAGCTTAGCATAGAGAGTATTCTGCTTCAGGATGTCCAATGCAACAGCCAAATGTTGTTTGTGAGATTCCTGGTCAGGGCTATAAACCAATATGTCATAAAAAACCAATATGAACTTCTTGAGGTAAGGGCTAAAAATTTGATTCATCAATGCTTGAAAAGTGGCTGGAGCATTAGTGACACCAAACATCATGACTCTAAACTCATAGTGCCCTTGATGAGTCTCGAAAGCAATTTTGTACTGATCTGAAGGGGACATCTTGATCTGATGGTAACCTGATAATAAGTCCACCTTGGAGAAGAACTTGGACCCTTTGAGCTCATCCAGTAAGTCATCAATGACTGGAATGGGGGAACTTATCTTTGATAGTAAGGGAATTAAGCTGTCTGTAATCGATGCAAAATCACTAGGATCCATCCTTCTTCAATACTAACAACACAGGTGAGGCAAACGGGCTCTTACTGTCCTGAATGTACCGAGAAGACAACATTTCTTTCACCAATCTATGTATTTCTTCTTTCTGTGCTTGGGAGTAACGATAGGGTCTGAGGTTGACTGGTTGGGCATAAGGTTGCAAGGGTATGGTGTGATCACAGGTTCGAGCAGGAGGTAAACCTTGAGGCTTCCTGAAAACATCTTTGTACTCTTCCAAAACTGATACTAAGAACTCTGGAACAACAGGCACTGGCACAGAAGAACCCACTTCAACCATAATATTGAATAAGTGACCAACAATGGAAGAAGTCTTCTTGAACATTTTCTATAACCCTTTACCAGAGAGCATCTTACATTGACCATAATCCTAGATGCCTTGTACATCACTTCCTTACCTTCCCATTCAAAGTATAGTTGCAGTTTGAGGAAGTCAAACTTCACTAGGCTAATAGTCTTCTGCCAATCTAATCCCAACACAACTTCATTGGATCCCAAATTTAGAATCCGCATATCATACACAAACCTCTGACCTTGCATTTCCCAACTGAAACCTTTACAACCGAAAAAACTAGCGAGCATAGTTCCATATGCTAGCTTGACCCGCAAGGGTGTAGCTATTTCCAAACTGTAGTTAAGCTCTCTGGCTTTATTCTCACGTAAGAAAATGTGAGTGCTTCCAGTATCTATTAACACAAACAACCTTCTTTTCTGCACCTTACCCTTGACCCCTAGAGAGTTTTCCAACCCTCCCCCACTGAGTTTCTGCATCGATACTTCCACCAGTTCAGATTGCTGTTGCTGTTATGCATTAGCTAAGACAGTCAACTCATCATCAGAATCGCTATCTGCCTCTTGAAATTGATCGCCTGTATCCCAACTTGCAAGGCGTTCAACTGTTTCTTTGATTCAAACACATGACCAAAATAGTATCTATCCCCACATTTGTAACAAGATCCTTTAAGAAAATTAGAACTCTTAGTACCTGATTCATTTTTATTGGAGGAAGTTGCTCGATTCCCAGGGCCTTCCCTGTGCTTGGTGACTAGAGTGGAACCCTGGTGTACCATTCCTCCATTTCTTCCTTCTAGCTTCGTTGGAAACTTCCTCCAATTGTGCCAATTGAAACGCATGAGCCAGAGTTTGGGGGTTCCACATCGTAATTGATGGTCTTAATTTCTCTTTTAGCCGCTATTAAAACTTGAAATGAAGTACTCTTCATCCAGAACCGGATTGTACCTCACCATCTGAGACCTTAATTCTTCGAGTTTCTCTTGGTACACTAGAAGAGATCCCTGCTGCTTGAGTTTGATGAACTCTCCCATGATTCCACCATACGACCTATCGCAAAACCGTCGACACAACTCAGACACAAACTCTCCCCATACCTATTTTCGACGACCATACTTTCAACCCTCGA